ATAAGTCATCTTTAGAAATAAACTGCAAATGAGAAATGAAGTGTTGAGGTCCCTTCACAGTATGAACACATTAAAATAATTCCATAGTTTGAGAGACTATGATTTAAATAAGTGGAACTCAAAGCCACCAAAGTCTAGATTTCTATTTCCTCTTTGACTTACGAATACCAATTTTTTGTAAACAGGTAAAAATAATTTATCTTTTTACTTATTAAGAAACGAAACAAATACTCATATGAGGGAATGAAAAGGCATATTCTACTTTTAAAGGCATTAATATAATGCATTATACCTTCACTAAAAATAAATTATAAAATAATCTTTAGCATTTTCCTTAATAACCAGGATATTTAAAGCAATGTTGATTATATGCATAGCTTTAGTAGAAATGATTTGTCAATATAATTAACAAGGGACATGCAAATGATTGTTATTAGAACAAATATTTAATTGGTAAATATTATTAAATTTTTACTATAAAAATACATTGTGTAAATATGGAAATGTGAAAAAGATTATTGAAATTTTTGCCCTTGCAGACTGTGTTTTCATATTGTAGACATATGTTCAAGATAATCATTTCACTAAAGATTATATATATTTTTTTGTATCGAAGGGATGATTTGGTAACTTATATGGACTCTATCAGTGTGTCTATTCTGTTAATTATGTGAATTAACCAATGGGGTAGAAATAGACATCATTCACTAATTTAACTCTACATCATTAGATACTTAAAGAAAATTAATGTTCATATCTACTATATGTAACTGAGATGGATATTGTTGATTTTGAAACCTTGGATTAGTTGAATGTGATCCCTTCTATAAAAAAGTCTTCCTATATTTCTAGATAATCACTAATTCAAGGAGTATAGAAATCACTGAATACAAAGAAAAGACCTTTAGAACAACATTAAAATATATTGATCTTATCAATTAGAAAAACACATTTGATATTGATGTCAGATGTCATATTTTGAAACTCCCCAGGAAGATTTTCAGCCATGTTTGGAATCCATATCTCCATGCAATCCAAATTAAAAACCTGTAGCTTACCCAGGGCAATATTCCTAATTATATTATTCTATGTAAAAACTCTTATACAGGAGCACTAGAGCATTCCTAGTCATGTGATCAATTAAACAATGTGATTCACATATGGCAAATCAAAGTAGGACACTTAGCAGCTACAAGTCTGGGTCTCTGCAGAGGAATCCTGGGGTTCAGAATAGCCTGGAATGGGGTGGCAAGACTAGATATCACCTAATTAACCAAGAACATTGTTATATAATAATATAACAAATATATCAATATATAAATATATATGTACACACACAAACACACACACACATACATACAGAATCTATTCAAGCAGAGCTCATCCTAATTCAGTAAAGGTCTGGGAAGAAGGAAGAGGGTGATGTTGCATTGCCAACTGGTGCACACGCTGAGCCCTCACCATCTTGTATCCTCAGTATCAACGACTTCCAAGACTATTTAACTCTCTGTCAAATGAGAAATAGACTCCAACGTGGCCTTCCTCTGGCCTCACCTCCTACCCATCTCACCCACATCCCCTAAGGCCCCCACATTTCTGGGAGAAGAATAGCTGGCATTTTCCTAAAGGGGACTTTTGCTGAGGTTGCGGCCATCTTCCAAATGCCTGGAAGATTCCATTTTTGGAGAAAGAACTGAGAATCCAAGTTATCTTTAAGAGGCCTAGAACTTTATTGTGTAGGCACTTGGGAAATTTTTATGGGTGCAAAGGAGAAATGGAGAAAAGAAGGGAGAGAAAAAAGAAAGGACGAAAGAAGGGAGGCAGCTGGGCAGGCCCCATTGCTGCTGCGCAGCCCCAGTCCAGCTAGTCAGGAAGAAAGCTGCGCAAGAGGAGGGAAGTGCAGCCTGAAGGAATGCTGGGCGTGTACTTTCAGTGCTCTCAGGGGTCTAAAATCTTCATCACCCTCCCCTGTAGCACCATGCCAAGCACCCTTCTGCAGTCTTCCAGGCCCTTTCCCTCCCCTTCTCGGCAGGTGGTTTCATCTGGAGGATTTCCATGAAGACTGAAGACAGGCTTTGGGTTCTGCCTTCTAGGAGCCAGTGAAGAGTTGGCAGAGCCCACTGTGTTTACACTGCAGCTTCCTCACTCCACTAGGTCCTTATTCCTACAGCTGCAGCAATTCTGGAGGAGGCTGGATGGGCAGAGGGCTTGGGAAGGCACCTGCAAGGTCTCTAAAGCTGGATTCCCAGAGGATTCTGGGGAGTAGAGCAGGGAGGGATGAAATGGGCTCTGGACAGTTCTCATACAGGAGTTGCTCGTGCCTTCTGTTTTGCCAGTGCTCCTCCAAACTGTACAGATCCCCCCAAAATTGACAGAGAAGCAGAGGAGGCCAGGAAGGGTAGACTAAAAATTCAATGAGGTGGGTATATTAGAGGTGAGGGGCAATGGAAAAGAGAAAGAAAGCTTACAAGGAAAAGAAAAGTAAAGAGAAAGGGTGTAAAAGGCCCCCCCTGGAGACTATCTCACAAGAGGTGCTAAGAAGCAGACATTTATCTGAAGATTGCAGCAAAGTCACTCAGGATGCTGAAAACTGCAGAGAGAGGGAACATCTCCACTCAACATTACTTTTTAGTTGTGTAGTCCACAGACTAGAAGTCAATTGACTTTTCTATAGCTCCAAGGTTCTAAGCCTCAGTTTCTTTGTTTGTAAACAAGGGGTTGGGACTAGATATTTTACAAGGTCTGTACTTGATCTGACCCCCTAGAATGTTAGCCAATGATCCAGTGAATCTGAGACCAAATACCTAAGAGCTTTAATACCTGATTTCCCCTTTTTCTCTACCACCCATTTATCAATGCAGAGCAATACCTGCACCATTCATTGAACCAATGCCAACTCTCAGGGATGACAAAGGAGTATGGCTCAATTGTGACAATTGATTGGTCCTCCTCCTCTAGAGTAAAGGAGGAAGGAATAGAGAAGGCAGGATGATGTATACTTTGATTTCCAAGGAGAGGTTATTCTCTAATTTCCAATTTCAGGTTTCATCCATTTCAATAAATTATAAATTCCCTTGAGGGTTTGGAAATACTTGGACTGATCAAAGGGCCAAAGAGGGTTATAATGAGGCCCCCTAGTTGGGGAAAATTTTATGTAATTCCACCCGAGAGATTGGATCTGCTTTTCTGTGGAAATCCAGACACACTGCCCTGCTCTTCTCTTGCCTGCGTGCCTCACGCAGCTCTGCCGACCTGCTTCAGTGCAGCATTTCCTGAGGTTATTAGACACCAAGGCTCGATGAGAGCACACTCATGAGCTAGGCACACAGTGATGCGGTACTCACATGCACACCACACACAAATGTAGGCAGTTTAAATTACGGTGGGAGTAAAATGTGTCTTCACAAGAGTTTCATTTTGAAATTTAGCTCAACCTGAAATTCCTTTAAATAAAAAAAAAAAATGTGTAGAAATAGATCTCACGGCTTCTCTTGCCTTCAAGTGGGAAGTGACACAGAGTGTATACTTTGTGCTTTCCACACCCATCAACATTTTCATTCCATTTTAGTCCCCAAAATACTGACAGGAGGACAACTCTAGAAAAATGGATTCCCATTCCAGCATCTGGCAGGGCACTGATCCATGCAGTATTGTGCTCTCACTACCTCATCTCCTCCACGATAAGGAGCATCTCCATTCCTTGCCCCCTTACACCGAGGAGGGTATTCAGCAATCTGATTTCCACATGGGATTTGACCTTGCAAAGACCCTTCTTCCACTTCTGGGCAAGGAACAACCCATTTAAACTCAAAACGCAAAACGACCTTTTCTCCTTTAAAGAAACACCACCAAATGTAACATCTGGGCTTGCATTTCTCAACCTGCATTCCAGAAGGCACAGACAGAATGCAAAGGCAGGTAACTAGTTTGGGGCTGATAGTCCCCATTCAGCAACTCTGATTCTCAGATTCGGTTCAAAATCGACAGTGCAGTAAAACAGCTTTCTTCCACCACCCTCCCATCCCCATTCACTATTGTGACTAAAACCAAAAAAATTACTCAGTTCTAAGTACTAAGAGAAATGTGCTTATTTTGCGCCCGACTCCTTGGGTTTTAAACATTCCGCTTAGCAATCAACCCCGATGGTCATACCAATCTCAACCACTCAGTTTTACTTATCAAACACCTTTGCTGCTTTTTCACGGTGAGGAAAAATGGTGCACCAACCCCACGGATGACAGGTTGGTACTTGACTGCAACCGCTCAATAGTTTTATCAGCAACTGGAAAACTTCATGGTCCGTCAATTAGGTACTTAAATCTGCCTATGGAAATCCGCCTATTTATAGACTGAAACTAAAAATGAATCTCGGTTCACCTATCTTAAATCTAGCTTAAGACAATTCCCGAAACACGCCGCATATAAACACTCCCCTCCCCACCACCCCCAGTAATCCCAAAGGTCCCCCATGGACTAAACAGCACATTCTGTACGCCAACATTAAGGCAATTGTCACCATGCATTTAAACGCATTTATGCAAAGCAAAGTATGTGACAATAGCCAAGCATCTCCCTGACAATTGGCTGAGCTACACATGCAGAAATGCAACGAAGATTGTATTTTCCACTTACAGTTATAGCGCTGCGCACGGTCACTTAACGAAAATGATAAAACTCAACAGTTCTTTTTTAAAAATATATATATATTTAATTCAGGTAAACGGTTAAGCCGTCTCGGTGTGTGGTTCTCTCCTTCTCTCTCTTTTTCTTGAAGCTCTGGGCTGCTGAAATCCCTCTCGGATCGCGCCTTGCAAGCCCAGCCACCGCTGCACCACGCTCCGGTGAATCTCTGCTGCAGATTGGGAATCCCATAGAAAACCTAGGGTCCCTGGAGCTGGATGCGCAGGCGCGCGAGCCTCCGCCTCCCCAGGTACCCCCTCCCCTTTCCTCTTCTCTCTCCTCCCCTTGCTCCGCAGCCCAGCTTGGAGAGCCTGGGAGCCTGTGACCAAAAGCCGCCAGGCAATGGCGCATGCTCAGTTAGAGGGGCTCGGAGTTTCCGCGGGTGGATTCCGAGTCTCCAGATTTTAGCAGAAACTCGAAAGGAAGGTAGATTGGAAACCCCACCCGAGCAGCCTGCTCCTGGACTGGAACCAGGGATGGCGGGTTGAGATCACTACAACTTGCGGTTACGACCCTGGTGACTGTGGCTGAGGCCAAGATGGGACACATGGAGCCCGCTTTTCCTGCTGCTGTCAGTCCTAGCCTGCCTCTCGTCTACCTTTTGTCAGCCTGTGAGGTGAATGAGAAAACTGCAGAAATATTACAAGAAAGCTTACTCTGAAAGCTAAGAGCATGTCTACCTGACTCACTGAAAGAAGGACTATACATTTCATTTTGCCGTGGGCCATTTCATTCGAGCGAGGTCTTATGCTAAAAGTACTAGGAGTTGGCTCAGCTAGCACAGGGTGCAAGTTCAGAACCGTGAAGGAAAAATGTGTATTGCAGGGAGCTGGGCCCAAGGCTTCTTGGCCAGCGTGCCTTGGAAAAGTCATGCAATCTATAAAAGCTTAATAAGCTAACTACAAAAGCGTAATAAGCATCTTCTTCGTATACGCAAAATAAATGTTTATTAAATATCTTTTTTTTTTTCTTTTGGAGGAGTGGGAGAGTGGAGGGAAAAGAATGAGTCATTCTGGGAATACAGGCTTGAGGGCTCAGGCCTCGGACTAGGCTATTCATAAAGCCCCCTTTGTGCCCTTGAAGATCTACAATTTTTTGCCAGCCCTGCCCTGCACCCCAACAGGCCTGCCAAAGCCTAGAAGACTTGGCAATGATTAGTGTTCAGAAAGTATTGGTCCCTCTCTACCTGGAAAGATTTCTCAGATGTTCCTAACCTGATCACTTTCCCCAGTTGCATCTATTCCACAATTATTCATTGAACCACCTACTATAATAAAAGGCACTGTCCTCTGCTTTGGGAATAATGCAGTTAACAAAAGTCACTTCTGGGTTTCACATTTAGGTGGGAGTTTTATTTTCAAGGAAGAGAAGTTCGAGGAGAACAATGAAGATGCACATTTTTCTTAATCAGTGATTTACTATTTTGCAGAGTGTCTTCCACCATCTTTCCACGTTTAGGAAAACTGAAGCGTTGACCTTTCTGTGCTGCGGACATCAAGAGCGCCTCCCGTGGCAAACAGGCTCTACACTGACTATTCTCCGTTGCCAAGAGGCAACTGCTCCTGGTTCCAAAAGGGGAATCCAGTTTTGAACGCACTTAAGGTTACTTAAGCTGGGACCCAGAAAAACTACCCCACGAGTCTTTGGCAAACGAAGGTTCGTGCTAGGTGAGGTCTCAGGCGGTGAAGTTAAGCCACGTTCAAAGCCAGCCTTCCAGCTGGGAGCTTAGGAACGTGCTTTCCCCGGCCAGACGCCTTGGGAAGACTGCGCGAGGGAAAGCGCGTTCCTGGGACTCCCGGGACACCCCTCCGGCCGTCCCTTCCAGGCGGGGCAATTCCTCCCAATGCTGGTGACCTCGGAAACCTGGATTCCGGAGCCGTGCGGACGCCACGCGCTGCGGCAGCCGAGCACGTTTTGAGTCGGGCGGGCTCCAGCCCCGCGCTCCTGGGCCGCAGTGCGCACTGCGCAGCGGGGCTCCGGGGCCAAGCAATTTCTTTATGTTTTCCAGGATGGGGCGGGGACAAAGTCAATTCTGGAAGAATTGCTTTTGTTAGTCCTAAAGACTAAGGCTTTCAAAGTAATTTCCCATTTTTTTTTTTTTTTTTTGTCGATCTCTGGTTTCTCTCTGGAGAGCAGCCTCCGCAGTGCACTCTGCATCCACCCAAAGGGTCATGATGCCATTTCTTCACTTCTACACACTGTACCTATTTATTGCACTCTGGAGGTCTCTTCCGTGGCGAAACTCGATTTTAGATAACTTATTTTCAACTTGTGTTTAGGAAAAAATATTTATATCCTGATGCTTTAAACTGTGCTCTGTTATTGGGTGGATGTGATTTAGACGAGTGCGCTGTTATGAAGCAGCTTTGTCTAAGTGGACAGGCAACTGTATTTTTAAAAATTCCATTTGTATAGCAGCGTTGTTTGGCGTCCTAAATGCGATATCTTAATTTTTAATCTCCAGTTATTATGTAGCTTTATCTTCTTAAGCTTCTGATATTGTTTAATTTTTTAAAAAATTCTCTTTAGCTGAACTTTATATGCAGCACAAAATCATAGTAGGGAAGCCAGTTCTAAGAGACATCTAAGGAATTAATGTTTAAATTACAGAAAGCAAATTCCCCTCTTAGAATTATGGAATGAACTTTGAGAGAAAAAATGTCATAGGAAAACTAAAAAATGAGGGAGCCCTCTCTTGCTCTCCTCACTAGGCAATTGCAGAGGTCTCCAGTAATCACAGAAGAGGAGACACCTCACCCAACAATCTTTTATGCCCAAGGGTAAGGGGACAGGAGTACTGCACCTGTTGAATAAAGAATGCCATCAGCTCTAACAGTTGGACATCTAGGGCCAATTACCTAAGGCTAATACCCCAACATCACAAAAGACCGTGTCAGCTTTCACAACCTGGAAATTTGGCGGAGGGGTAGGAGTGGAGTGGGTTAGGGGCAGTAAAAGAGGGAACAAAAGGTACTGTAGAGAGATGGTTATTATTTCAGTAGTGCTAGATAGAATCAACTGACCAGAAACAACTGAGAGTTCCTTTCTTTTCTTCAGTTGCAAGATAGATTCTTTAAAAACTTCTTATTGGACAGTGGCAAATTATAATATGTTTATGAGGTACAAAGTGATGCCATGTTATATATATAAAAGGTGGAATGATTGACTCAGGGTAATTAATGGATTTCTCATTTATTCCTATTGTCTAACTGAAACATTGTATCTTTTCACAACAGCAAATTATATTCTTTCAGAAGATTTCAGTCTTACTTCCACTTCCCAAATTCAATGAAACAAACAATGGAACCAAGAATAACTTTTTAGGTGTACACAACTCTATATAATATTCCTCTCCTGCTTTAATTGTGGCAAGAACAAGTTGAAAACTGAGTAGGATGGTGGGAGTGTGAAATGCCAGAATAGAACAGGTCTAATCTTATGGCCCTCTGAGCTCATTGTAATATTATTTATTTGAAATATTTGTGTATAACATATATATGAGCCAAGAACGCTGGAATATAAGGCATGGGAGTATATAGAAAATTGAAAGAAAAGTAAGTTTTTGAAAGTCATTGTTGCAGGAAATTAATAAATGGATTTATATTTGTTTAAATTCATAAATAATAGTTATGCTAATTTTATTGTATGTATAAAGTGACTTTATTTTAAAATATAAGGGTATTAATCTTTATAGAGGACAGGTATTATGTAAGACCCTTATATTTATCCTGACTTTTTATTCTATTTTAAAATATACAGATACGCCAACAAAATTAATTCCCTAAAGTCAAATAAGAAGTTATTTCTTAGAATAAAATCCTACCATTGTTTTTCTGACATATTTCATTGTATGCATTTTGTATTCCTTCTACTGTGTTTTATTAAAATAAGTAAAAAAAAAAAATGCAAGACCATGAAGCAGTGATTCCTATAGAGTCAGTGTTCCATGCCTGTATGTGCAGGGGAGGGGTTAATTAAGTTATAATTTTAATAGATCTAGTTGATCATTTTTCTCAGTCCATCTTTGATTTGGCTGTGCTGTGCAATCTATGACTGGATCTAAATTCAGTTTGAAATATACTCTCTAGCTATAGTTATCAGTTTCCTCTGAAATTTGAAAAATTCACAACAAATTTTCTTAAAGCTCTATTGAATAAATCATGATCAAAATTTTGAGTGTCTTAGAAGTTTCTTAGAACCTCAGAAATGGTCATAGCAGATGCAGGTGGTATGCAGCCTAAAGAATAAAAATAATAATGAAATGTTTATTTGTTATCTCTCCTCCATTTGGGCCTGGCCTATGGATTTATAGCAGCCCTCTTAAGCTGAAAATTTTTATCACTATTGATAGTGGACAAAACACACACACACTCACACACACACACAAATACTGTATTGTACATGATGCCTATTTCTTTTCTTTGATGACTTTTTAGATAGTTCTCAGTGTTAGACTGTTCTCTTTTTTTAAAATTGTGTAAACACTACAAATAATATATGAATACATTTTCTGAGACCTCTATACTTTGGACACCATTTGATTCAAAAGAGTCTTCGAAGACCCTTCTGGCCTAAAGCAAATCTTACTTTTTTCTCCCTTTAACCTATTTTCTTTTTTTTTTTTTAAAGAGAGAGTGAGAGGAGAGAGAGAGAGAGAGATAGAGAGAATTTTTAATATTTATTTTTTAGTTCTCGGCCGATACAACATCTTTGTTGGTATGTGGTGCTGAGGATCGAACCCGGGCCGCAGGCATGCCAGGCGAGCGCGCTACCGCTTGAGCCACATCCCCAGCCCCTATTTTCTTTAATATAGATTTTGTACTGAGACTCTCAACCTCCACATAAAATCTTACAATAAAAATTTTAAGAAAAAATAAAAGTAGTAGAATTCTACATCCCTTTGGAATCAACCAATAAAAGCCAAACCAACATTTTTTTTTTTAACAAAAAAGTGTTCACAACTGAATTTATACTTTTACCTCCTTCATGTTTTGGTGTTCTTACAGTATTCCTCCTTTAAAGTTTACTATCCCAAGGAGGGAGAGTTCAAGAAGAGAAAATTATTCTTGATACACACACACACACACACACAACATATATTTATATAATTTTTTTTTCAGAGTGTGGGTTTAGGACCTATATATTACAATCTCTTGGAGAATGGACTGGCCTTATTTTTAAGAAAGAAAAAAATTCTCGAGTAACTAAGAGTCTCATTTTGTAATTGTTTTAGTTTAGATGCTAAATGTTCGCCAGAGGTACAGGTGGTGAAGTCTTGGTTGTCAGTGTGGCCCTTGTGGGACTTGCTGTAGGACTTTAGGAGGAGAGGTCTTGAGGTCCTTCGGTCATTGGGAGCATACCCTTTTGGGGGTATTTTGGGATCCTGAGCCCCTTCTTCTTGTTCTTTCCTTTCTGGCTATGAGGCTGTTATGGTTTAGGTATTTTTGAGGTGTGAGAAAGCTCATGTGTGAGAAAATACAAGACATTTTAGAGGTGAAATGATTGGGTTACAAGAGGTTTAACTTAATCAAAGCATTAATCCACTGATAGGTATTAACTGGGTGGCAACTGTTGGCAGGCAGGGTGTGCATGGAGGAAGTGGGTCACTGAGGGCATGCCCTTGAAGTTCGTATTTTGTCTCTGATATGAGGAACTCTCTCTTTGCTTCCTGGTGTGATGTCCTGAGCTGCTTTCCCCACCTCACTCTTCTATCATAATGTTCTGCCTTGCCCCAGGTCCTGAGAGGGAGTCAGTCATCTATAGACTGAGACCTTTGAAACTGTGAGCCCAAAATTAACTAAAATTGTTTTTTGATCATAGTGGTAAAAAATCTGACTAAAACAGAGGCAAAATGCTTTTTTCTGCCATATGATCCCTGTCATTGACATCTCTTATTCCTATCAAAGGCCCAAAGCAATGGGCCTCCAAATCTAGAACTGGAACTTCCAAAACTATGAGCCAAATTAAGCATTTTCTCTTTATAAGTGAATTATTGCAGACATTTTGTTGTAGTGACAGAAAACTGACTAGCACAGTAGTGGTTGCAGTTGAATTCCTTTTGATCTAATTCATCGTTTATTATCGTGCAGCTTTTCAGCACTTGTGTTGGGCCAGGCATTAGGTAGTGAGAATGTGATATTCTTGATATTCAATATTCCACTTCTCAATAACCTTATTTATATATGAAATAAGTGTTATTATTAACCATTTTACAGATAAGGAGGAAATTGAGCCAAAGTATGCATTAGTAATATTACCAAATGACTTTATTAGTCAGCTTCAATTTCTCTTTCATCCCATTTCAATTAATATTATGATTCTACCTTTATATCTTACCAATGTCTTGTCCACATACCGTACTTAATTAAGATGATCTTCCAAATACTGTGGTCATATCATTTTCTTCAAGAGCCTCCATCTACTGAGAAACTTCAAACCATATTATGTATTTAGAATTTTCTACCATGTGGCAGAGACTGCTACTTGTCTGTCTTTACAACACACTATTAAAATTTTTTTGGTGGTGTGCCCAAATAAAAGTAACCTTTTTCAGAATGCTCAATTTTCATCTACTACCTGAAGGAGAAAAAAAAATGGAGGACTCACTCATTTCTTTTAGTGTTCTTACCATATTCTTCCTTTAAAATTTATTTTGCCACTCCTAAGAAGAGAATGTTCTAGAAGAAAATGACTATTGATGTTACTAAATCTGGATATTAGTCTTACTCTCCAATTTCTTATTTATAATTGCCTACAGAACATCACAGGATTTTTTTTTTTTTTTTTACAGACACCTCAAACTCAACATGTTCAAACAATTATCTCCCTCACTCCCCCATCTCCATGAAGCTGTTCTCCTCCTCTGCTCCTTAGCACTGTGCTGGGGCCCATTACCAATGCAGAACCTTGGATGCCATCCTCAGCATCCCCGTTTTCTCTCATTCTCCCCAATCATTTCTTAAGTCCTGTGAATTTCACCTTCTAAACATCTCATGAATCCAGCCCTCACAGCTACTGTGTCATTCAGATTCTCATCTGTCTTGGACTTGGACTTGTTTGTTTTCATTCTCATAACTGTGCAAAAACTCAAACAAATCCTGTCCTTTCCCTGAATAAAACCGTTCAGTGGTTCCTCCCTTTCAGCAATAAAAATTAAAAGTCCTTAGCACAAGACCATTGGCTGGCTCTTTCACACCGTCTAGTCCTACCTCTTGCCATGCCTCTTTAGTGTACCATGGTGTCAGTAGTTTACTAAGCATGTAGTAGTATTTCTTCTTTTATACATGCTCTTTCTTCTTTGCAACTCTTCTTTACCTTGGTTTGCCTTTAATGCTGCTATTCATCTTTTGTGTTAAGCTGAAATATTGACTCTTAATAGAAGAATCTTTCTCTTCCTAGCCCATGACAGACAGTTTACAAGGTTGTTGTGAAGATTAACAAAAGTAGGGCATATTAAAGGACTGTACAAACTATGAAGTTGTATTTAAACACCAGATATTAGGTAATGTCAATCCATCTAATGATTACCAAGTTAAATTTTATGTTGTCTATTTTTCATTTTAAAGAGCCAAATGTATATGTTTCATTGTACAAGAATAAAACTCCTGTTTTGATTAAATTTTAATTCCTAATTCTGATATAAAGACACTTTATAATATTAACACTAGTTTCTCCCCCTTGGATAAATTGTAGCATGAAGGTTGAATTTCTGTAGTGTGAATAAACCATAAAGTATTTAAAAGTATTCATTAACTATTTGATATTCCATTACTTTTATTCTATTATTCTTGTTTTCTTGTTATATGTTTATTAGGGATACAAGTATAGAACTATACTATAATACCTTCTGTTTTATGGCCTTTATTTTACAATCCTGTTATTTGAATCCAAAACAGTTATCATTATCTTCACTTTATAGTTCATTAGAAAGTCCATATTACAATGCTTTCTAGAAGTTATGTCCCCATAATGTGATGGAACCAGGTGCAACTCAGTATCTAATCCTAGTTTCCAGTAATTGTTTTTTGATGATGACAGAATGTTTCTCTAGTTTCATTTTCCCCAAGTTTTCCTTGAGGTAACAAAAACTTGCTATAGTAGATTATAAATTTAGGAAGAATGTGAAGTACTATGACACTCCTTGAGGAGAAAACCAAAATATTTGTCTCACTTTTCCCCCTTTCATTAGGAGATGAGAGTACATTAAAAACAAAGATAAAGGATATTTAACATGTTACTAAAAATTTATAGTCTAATATCATGGACAATTTTGCACTAAAATTGCAAATCACATACTTATTAAGTCATTTTAAATATTCATTAATGTTGCCACCAAACTTAGAGGCATCAAGGAATCTACTTTTATTCAAATTGCTTAAAATATAAAAGAGGTAAATGTTTGTTTTGCTAAATTTCCCACTGCAATATTTCTGTTGAGACATTGATATTTGGTAACACAAATATACCTTAGTCTCTTATTTCAGTATGATTTGTTATATTTTTGATTAAATGAAATAAAATTAAAATAAAATCAGCAAATGATCATTTACAATGATAACAGCTTCAATTTTATATTTTCCATAAATAGAAATTCTATGTATGATTTTATTTGAATACAAAATTTCACTTTTGACTTTAAAAAAAACTACCAGGGGATAGAAGTGGAAGAGGCATAACTGGAGGTAAAGACACATGGAAGAAAAGTTCTAAAATTATATAAAATTATGAACTTGAACCAGAAAAACAGCAGTGGAAATGAAAATATGTGACTTTGATATAGTTGGGATAGGATGTACAGAATTTGATTCTTGATTACATATATAGGAGAAGGCAAAGTCAAACACAATCATAAGATTTGGAACTGGCTCACTGAAATAATGATAATTACTTTAGTTAAAAAAAGGACAAGTTTAGAGAAAAGGAGAGTAAGGAAGTGGGCTTAC